TTGAAACTGTCTACAATCAATATTGTTATTAATCTGTGTATTTGTGAAATATACAAAAATGATATCTCATTAAGCTCGAGTAATATGTGTACCTTTAAAACTCTACTCTTAATCATGCTCTATCGTCAACATCTGCAACAGTAATGCATAATTGTATCTGAATTACATTATGCTTATATATACAATAGATGTAGTCTGACTAAAGGGAGAGGTATGTATCGATTTTATGTATGTGTGTGTCTGTGTGTGAAGTCGTTCAAGGTATATTCAATTGTAAAATGTAGAAGTTAATGTGCAGGTAGTTATTGAAGGTAGATAAGATCGGTAAACAAACACCGCCCCACCTGGTAGAGGTAATAAATCCTGTTTTGGAAAAAATTCTCCCATGAATTCCGCATGAGTTCTGTCTTTATAGGTACGTATTGAAATAATAAATACGGTGACAAAACCGGAGATGTTTGGAAAATAATTACCAGCACCGTAATTATACTGTTATAAGGAATTGAATTATTCATTAAAATAAATATTTATAACAAAAGCTACCTATAGTATGCATAAAATCATTGCAAATTAATCTTTTCACATTTCTTTACAGAAACAGTCCAGCTTGTTATGGACGATCAGCGCAATGCTATGTTAGAATAAGTACTTTTTATAATTGGTACTTAATAAATTAAATAAATGATAAATAGTTGCTTGCTCCATTAGCTTTGTACAAACGTACATTTGTAATTTCGAATTACCAATAAAAAAAGATTAATTGGACTTCAAAAAGAAAAAAAAATGAATGCAATGCAAGAATAAGTATTTTTACACCCAAGAAATTTACACCTGAAATGTGTTGCTGACTTTCAGAAATTTTTCCAATTAACTCCAGAAAATGTCAAAGTAAGAAAAACAGTAATGAATTTCCACACAGAAATGTGTCAAACAAATTGTTACTTATTTTTATTATTAAGTGCAAAAAATTACGTTTTTCGTTACTTAACTTCCTTCATTTGTATCATTCTCATCCAGACAAGTTTGAGATCGAAATCGGTTTAGGAACGTTTTTTTTTAAATCACAGCTTTAACTGTTATTTATTGAAAACTACGCAACGCCATAATGACCTAATTGGATTTTCTGGCGTTTTTATGTGACCTTTTCGCAGTTGTCAGTTTCAGGTACACGAACAAATCATGTGAAAATTCCTGCCACTAGTAACCAAGATAAAAGCATCATCATATTATCTTTTAAATTGGTAATTGCACCTTCAAATACGAGAACCTATACGCAGGCCGTGAGTTAGGAGATATATTAGAGAAGTTAGGTTAGGTTATCCCATAATGAGAGGAGTTCCAAGTATCATTAAAAATTTTAAAAAATAATAAGGCGTCAGGTATAGATGGGATACAGGCGGAAATTCTAAACCATGCAGGACAAGAGGTTAGAAATCGTATGTTTAAGCTAGTCACTCACATTCACGAGAAAGTCCCGGAGGATTATAAACGGAACGTGGTAGTAATCTTACCTAAAAAGTGAGGCGCGGATGGGTGCGAAACATTTAGAACAATTAGCTTCACTTCCCATGCGTCAAAAATCTTAACTATTATGCAGAGAAGGATAGAAAAAAAAGGCAGAAGAACTGTTAGGGGACGATCAATTTGGGTTTAGAAGGAATACAGGAACGCGGGAGGTCATTCTTGCTTTACGTGTAATAATAGAGAAACAGATACAAAAAGGAAAGACTGCGTACATAGGATTTGTAGATTTAGAGAAAGCTTTTGACAGTGTTAAATGAGACAAGATGTTAAATATACCTAAACATGTAGGGACGAGTTACAGAGATAGAAGAGTGATACTTAGTTTGTATAAAGAGCAACAAGCACTTATATAACTGGAACAGCAACGTAGAGAATTAAATATTAAGAAGGAAGTTAGACAAGGATGCACACTGTCACCGCTACTTTTTAATCTACACATCCAAGACGCAACCAACATTATTAAAGACAGTACAACTGTAGGGATAGATATACAGGGGCAAAAGATTANGTCCCGGAGGATTATAAACGGAACGTGGTAGTAATTATACCTAAAAAGTGAGGCGCGGTTAGTTGCGAAACATTTAGAACAATTAGCTTCACTTCCCATGCGTCAAAAATCTTAACTATTGTACAGAGAAAGATGGAAAAAAAAGGCAGAAGAACTATTAGGGGACGATCAATTTGGGTTTAGAAGGAATACAGGAACGCGGGAGGTCATTCTTGCTTTACGTGTAATAATGGAGAAACCGATACAAAAAGGAAAGAGTGTGTACATAGGATTCATAGATTTAGAAAAAGCTTTTGACAGTGTTAAATGAGACAAGTTGTTAAATATACCTAAACATGTAGGGACGAGTTACAGAGATAGAAGAGTGATACTTAGTTTGTATAAAGAGCAACAAGCACTTATAGAACTGGAACAGCAACGTAGAGAATTAAATATTAAGAAGGAAGTTAGACAAGGATGCACACTGTCACCGCTACTTTTTAATCTACACATCCAAGACGCAACCAACATTATTAAAGACAGTACAACTGTAGGGATAGATATACAGGGACAAAAGATTAGTATGCATAGATTTGCAGATGATATAGCAAGATAGCTTTAAATAAAATAGAATCGGTATTGACAAAACAGTAATTTTGTGAAAATAAATAAAAGTAAAACAAGAATACTGGTATGCAAGGGAAGAAAAGGTAGGGAAAGAGCGGATGTAACGATAGGAGACGAAGGATTAGAAGAAGCGTCTGAGTTTAGGTACCTAGGAAGTCAGATAAGTCAGGACGGCAGAAGTAGTAGGGATATAGGTAAAGCAGAGGATAGCGCACGGCTAAGTCGCTTTAATAAAAAGAAGTCATGCACTTCTATGCTCGCGAACGGTTAATTTAGAAATTCTTAAAAGATTGTAAATGTTAAAAACAATTTGTCTTCGTTATCTGCCGAAGAAGTGGGTATCATTTTGTATGTGTGCAGGGTCACCAACTTGAAAACTACATTCAAAAATTCCGTCATCGAACTGTCCCACTTTGGTGAAATATGATGACCGACTGGTGCGATGTACGGATTCACTTTCGTTTTTGGCGATCGGATCGCAATTCTGTCGAAAAGCTGAATGTGCAATATAGGAGACCATCGGTAAATTCGCCTTGATTTATTGTACAAAGCTTTAAAGCATAAATCTTGTCGACTAAATAAAAACGAGCACGTGCAATCGTACCGCTTTCGTCTTGTTTTAAAAGCAATTTTTTCACGCCAACAACGAAACGGTACAATTTTATTAATGCCAACGGATGTGAAATTGCAAGAAGTGTCACTGGATTTTTTCAATTTTTTAAAAAACAATAATGCATTCGATGCAGTCAATCAAACTGTTCTATCCAATACGATTATTTAAACTATTAACGGTGCACACTTTAACGAAGCATTGTAATAATTCTATTGTAGTAAAATAAAACCCCCTTTATTAGGATGCGCCGTAGCATTATTCCAAATTCAATCATATTTGTCTGCGGAGCTCATTTCTCCACCGATCATCGAGCGAGAACTAGACGAAAGTGTACAGTACCATTTGCAAAATTATTTAAACTGCCTCGTTAAAATTTAAGAATATGCNTTTAAATTAAAACGGAAATATTTTAAGTCCTTTTATTAAAGTGCGAATTGGACTCGTGCATAATCAGAGCTGAGCAGCTCTCACCAAACAAGCTCTAAGCCACAAGCCCAAAGCTCTTACTCGAAACCCCAATTACATTTAAAATCCAAGGATTCTGGATTACCCGTTAGTATTTTGAAAGTGCTTCATGAACTTTGACGTAGCTTGAAGCCGTTTGAATTGAAAAGAACATTTTAAAAACATAAAAAATAATCCATTTTTGATTGGACTGCCCATGGTCTGTCTGACATCATATTGATGAAATGAAAACAGAAAATATAGCTAAAGCGTCCTATGGAAAAATTTACTTTACTTTTATTTGTAAGTAGGTATTTGAAAAATTCATTCTGTATGCAATTACTGGGGATTTTTGAAACATAAATCTATTGAATCGATGCTACGTAGTTTGCGTCGCACTTGCTATATTGATTTATGTCACTGTGTTTTCAAAATCTGACCAAGATGGTCATACCCATGAAATAAATGAGAGGGATTGATCAAGGAAATCACAGGCAGTGGTGGCAGGTAGAGTACAGTTAATGTGCTGGAGATGTTAGGGAAGGACAGCGGTGACAGGCGCATTAGAGCTCGGGTCAGGGAGAGACTACTATGGGCAGTGATGGGAAGTACATCATGGTAAACTTTTCAATTTAATCAGGATTAAGTCAATTAAGTTAATAAATGGAAAGGGTTTTAAACAAGTAAAAGAGCATATTTTCACACCAAATAAAGTTCACCGTAGTGTCCAGGACCAAAATATTCTGATGTATATTTTAATAAGTATCTACAATTTAATATTGATAAAAAAAAACAAGTCATTTTTCATTAGAAAGTTAGTACACAGTACGTAGTTTGAACAGGTTGCCAAAAATGTTTCCTTGTGTGTGTATAGGTGGCCGAAAGTAGTTAATAATCACAAGTCGACATATGTGTCTCAAGGTGAATGTATTTGGAAATGATAGATGTTTCTCCAAGTGTATTGCAAAGAAGATTGATGGTCTCGTAATAACCGAACAATTTGTTGTCGCGCAGGGCAATGGATCGGTTAAATAAATAAGAAATGTGTTTTGCACGCAACGATAATAAATAATTTTTGTATTTATGCGTAGGACTGTGGGTGTCCACCACGTTTAAGATTCCGTTTATGATTTATGGGGTTCATTAGCTCTGCGAGACTTTTCTTGGTATCAGTTGTCAATAAATTATTATCATCGATGCGATTGGTGATCTAATGCAACATTATTTATTTATTGGGCGACGTTTTACGGCGTCTTGTTCGACACATTTGTCTGGAGTTGATAACAGGGCTGGGCGACACACTCACGTTCGTGTATGACTAGATGACCACACGTCTAAATCTTTATATCCAGAAAATGAAAGGTATATGAATTGATTCGTCTAAACTGTCAATTGTCAATTAAATTAAAAGCTAAAGCTTTTGCTACAAAAATGATCTACAATTATGAAGACATTAATCCCGAAGACCAAGACAGAGATCAAGAACAGTTGCAGCAGCAAGAACCAATTATTCCCAATTATGAGGCAGAATTCGTTAGTGCAAAAACATTTCTGCAAAGAGTCAGCCCTGACACTGGGGACAATATGTATGACCATTTATCGGATTGTCTGAACAAAATTCTGGCAGAGAGGCCGGATAATGTAATCGACTTTTTTGAGGAATATAGTCGCAAAGTCAAGGAGAGAAGACACAAGCCTGCAACTGACCATTTGGAAGATGTCTACATTTCTCCGGGTAGATATACGCAAGCGAAGAGATTTATGCCCTTATTGAGACCGCCACCACCAACGGACACTAACGTGGACCCGGAAGATGAAGAACTTGCAGATATGTCAAGGAACGACATGCTTCAACTGTTGTATTTTTTCGAACAGGCCGGCATTGGATTGCCCAAAGCGGAAATGTTTTGTCTCATGCTATCAATGAAAAAAGTGATTAAAAATTTACCAATTTCATCCATTCGCTTTTGGGGTAAAATACACGGTTTATACAAGAACTATTACGTCCTAGAAACTGAGCTTAAAGAGGAAGAATATATGAGAAGAAATGAGGAACAAAACAAAGAGGAAGAGCAACTCCTAGAGACCGAACCTCCACCACAAATGTTAGAAGACGTACAACAAGAAGCGCTGAAGGCTTTAGATCAAGCAGAAGAAGAAGGAGAAGGTGACACGAAACCTCCATCCAAAGTACCAAGGCCTCTTCCTCCCATACCTCAAGCAATTATTGAGGAAGTTCCTGAACCACCGTCAGAACCTTATGGAGTTGGAGTAAACAAGAAGGTTTATTATGTAACCCACGAACCTGGTTGTGAATGGGTGGAACTTCCGAATGTGACACCGAAGCAAATACGAACTGCGAGACTAATTAAAAAGTCCTTTACAGGAAATTTACACCAGGAAATCATAACATGGCCCGCTTTTGACGGCACGGAAAAAGAATATTTGAGGGCGCAGATTGCCCGTATTTCAGCTGGTACTCAAATATCCCCTTTAGGATTTTACACATTTGGTGGAGGTGGAGGAGAAGAAGAGGAAGAAGAAGAAGCTGAAGAAGAAGAAAAAGGAGGTGGATCACCGTCAACGTACAACGAAAATCCTCGATTCGATCCTATACCGTTTAATGACATGACCGATAAGTCAATGTCCTTTTGGGTGCATCATACCCAGTACATTTTACCACAGGGAAGAACATCATGGTGGAATCCTTATCCCAGCGAAGACCTAGGCGAAGAAATGGGCGAGGAAGAGGAACAAGGGGCAGAAGGCCCCAAAGCTGAACCAGAAACAGGTCCGCCACTACTAACACCTCTTTCAGAAGACGCTTCTCTCGAAGCTGTCCCGCCGTGGTCTGTTCGATCTTCATCCATATTGACCACAGAATATGCTATAGCCATTGTTCGATCAAACTTATGGCCTGGTGCATTTTGTTTTTCCAACCAAGGAAAAATATTTCAAAACATTTACATCGGTTACGGACATAAATATATAGCACACAATTTCTCTCCAACTCCGCTACCGCCAGTGGAGCAAGATTACCCATTGGGACCGGAAATCATGGAAATGACCGATCCAACAGGAGCCGAAGAAGAGGAATGGAGGATAGCGCATTTACCAAAACCGAAACCTGAAAAGGCTGCAGCCGAAGAAGAAGCCGAAGAGGAAGAAGAAGAAGACGAAGATGAATAGTTTGTCTTGGTTAGAGTATATTTAGAATATAAGCTTTTCATTTATTCACGTAACAGCATTGCTTGTTCCTTGTTTTTCTTTTACTTATTTTATAGACATTCGATAATTAGAATTGACTGTTTGTGTCACTGTTATTGAAATAATTGCTAATATTTGCGTGGCATTTTTAATTAGATTTCCAGTGTTACATAACGTTGCCGTTTAATTAATACATTTGTCAGTCGCATTGGGGTTCGCAATTCGGAGAGTTGCTATTGAAGCTCAAAATAAAAGGTCCTCAACGCATTAACACTTGAAATAAAGGAACGAATCCTATCAGTATTCACGAAGGCAACAATAAAATTGAGTCTGGAATGAATCGCGATAAGAACCGACTTTCAGCATTAAGATTTCGTTTAATTGCAAGAATAAATATGTCGCGCGGACAAGGTGTGTTCATGAGCTGCAGTGCGTCTATGCGTAGTCATTTCAGATCGTTTATCCTTATGCTATGTTGCCAGTTTTACTGATTTATAAATTTAGAATAACCTAACAGAAATACAAAATCCGCCCAATATAATTTTTTGAATGCCTGAATATTTAATGAAGAGGTATTAGAAAGAATAGGAGAACAGAGGACTCTATAGAAGTCAATAAAAAATAGGCGAGATAGGTTGGTAGGACATCTTCTCAGGCATGAAGGTCTAGTCTGAGACATATTAGAGGCAGAAACAGGAGTTAGGAGGGGTAGAGGCAGACGTAGGTTAGACTACTGTTCACAAATAGTTAAGGATGTGGGTTGTCCTAGTTTTAGGGAAATGCGAAGTTTAGCTCAGAATAGGAAAGAGTGGAGGTACGTGTCCAACAAGTCTTAGGACTGACGATCTTATGATGATGATGATGAATATTTATATATCTTTGGGAGTAAATTTTGAACTCTTCTCCAGCTGTGGCATTTGCGTAGACAAACTGGCGTATCAATGTCTCTACTTTTTTTGGCAAGAATTTTTGAACAAATGGAGTGGAATAGATTAAAACTTATCACTACTTTTTGTAGTTTAGTCATTTACATATTTTCGATCAATTCCAAAATTCAAAGAAATTACTACTTAACTAATTGGATCTGACGGCTCTACCTGAGAATTTTAACATTAACTTTCGATGATTAGAGTAATTCTAAGTACTTTATCATATCAGACACTTCTTTCAAATAAACCTGTCGCAATTTCTTCCTCTGTTATACGTTTAAACCGTAATTAGTGTAATAAAGTATCTAGTTCGTTACTAGTGTTAATTCAAGGGACAACGTCATGTGGCAACACAGTGCTGAAATATCGCGATGTCAATTAGAGCCGTATGCGACAAAGCGCACATAAGATCACAGGTTTCTATTCCGCAATGTCGGATCAGATTTGAGTCGTTCTCCCTTTTTTATGTATGTTCGTAGATTTGTATAACTGTGGTAAGCTATTTGGCTTCACTATAATGTTTTACTACCACGTTTGCTGCTCATATAAAACATACATAACTATAAGTTCGAAAACTAAATTACTGTATAATTGTAGTTTGTATTTCTCTTTTCTCACTTGCAATGTACATATTATGCATGGCATCCCAAGAAGTGTTATATAAATAACCTCGAAAACTGCACGAAATATCCCTTAAAACTTCAGATTCTGGTTTGTCCTTTGTTTTGCGATAAGCCATGCTTGTATTTTTTGCTGAGTTACAAAAGTTATTCAAGAAAACCACAGAAAAACTTAGACCAAGGCAGACGAACCCGGAATCGAACCAGCATCCTCCCGAATGCTAAGCAATGGTCTAAACCTCAGAGCCATGCCGCTTGGTTTGAAAGATGCAAAAAAAAAACTTTTGGGTGTTTCATTCCCACCAGCCAGTAATGCTGGTGGGCGGGCAGTCCCTCCGGACTACGCCGGAAGGTAGGGCGGAAGGCCCTCTTCAGCCTGCTTTCAAGAATCGTGGGAATGGGTGGGTGGTGGTTCGGGTTAGAAAGATGAGACGGACGAAATGAAGACAGAAGAGAGTGAAAGATTATCTGTGGAATATTACTGCCTCAACATTTGCCTAAGTGATCCAAGGAAACCACAGAAAAACTTGGACGAAGGCAGACGGACCCGGAATCTAACCGGCGTCCTCCCGAATGCTAAGCAATGGTCTAAACCATTGCTTAGATGCGTGACGGCGAGCTTTATATAGGAGTATTACCGCCCTGCTATCTTTCATTCTGTTAACGCACTTTGAATAGAGTTGCGTGAGTTTTTACATACAATCGTGCAATGTCTCTGACCACTCCATTTAATGACCATCATTCTATGCTTCGCAGACGGCTGAGAATTAAATAATTCAATTCAAAAGCTTGCATTCACTTATCGATTGAATCCTTCAGGAATAATTAATTAGCAATGCTACATTTTTCAGATTATTTTCTGAAGTACCATGAGCATGAAAACATTAAAAAGTAGCAATAATTCAGTATATATACATTAATTGCATTAATGTAGAAGCTGCTATATAACAAGATTTTTAATTACAATGCAATTGTAATGTTTTCGAAAATATTTTATTGAGTTTTAAATACGATTGGCTAAAGAATTGTTAAACTTTTGCTTCAAATGCACGTGCTCTCCGTAATATAGAAAGTTGAAAGAATATTACTGGAATTAAAAAAGGAGAAGATCCAGGAAGTCTTGCAAGAATTGGGTAATACCAAAATAAAAGTAAACTTTTCTCTCAATATGTTTTCCTTGGAAAACGCTATAAACTGACTTTTCGATTAGATCATCATCAATTAATTCCAGCTTTATTGTGTACTATCTATCTACCTTTAAGAATTTTCTCTTAAAATTTTGCTTCATTTCGTGTTAATGTATTGTCGTATTTACATCGACTTAGTTTAATAATTGTTGATAATACAATAAAAAGAAGATAAGCTGAGGTATGAATGACAGGAGCCCCTGCCCGAAAAATAAATCTGGCCAATTACTTGTTCTCATAAATTTTGCCGATTAATATGTAGGTACAGATATTTCTACTTTTGTAATTAACATTACACAAGGAAACGTAAAATAGAATGGTACTCTTGAAAATACAATGACCATAAGTTGTCATCGTATGTGTCAACCTTAATCATAGTGGTACGTAGCCTTCAGTGTGTGAGTTGCCTGCCTGATCGTACTTCTTATCGTTTGTTCATATCTTATGACCAATCAATTCAACAAACGCTTTCATGCCGCATCCAAGAATCATTTACTAGTCATCAACAGGTAGTTAGTCAGTAGGCATTTGAGTGCATCTCTCTTGTGTTTGTCGTCTGCAGATGCAATTTAGAGCAACTTTGCAATCAACCCATTGCTACAGATGTCTTGTGTGACATTTATGGCTCACAATTATACCATTTCATTGGTACCACTTGCACACTATGTATCTCACTGAGGTGTATGCTTTTTCCTCGCTGTTCTGACCATCGATGTAGCAGAACCTATAAATAATTGTATGATTTGTACAACTTTGCCCGATGAAATCTCCATGCGCCATAAATCAAATTTTATTTTTGTTTATATTTTATTGAAGATAAAAACTCAAAACTTGTACCATGAATTACAGCTACATAACAACGTCTTTGATAGTATAAGTACTGCATTCTTGTTGAGGGTACAGAAATTGTTGTTTTTCAAGTTGTTGAGAAACAGATACAATTTGACTTTTTTATTGAAATGCATAATCCAAAAAAATCAAATAAATGCAAAATATTTAATTGTAAAGTTAAAATAAATTGAGATACAGATTATTTAGCGGTTCATAGGATTTTCTTTATGTTAAGGATTACGGCTTAACAGCGTTTAAACAAACCAATTTTTCTCCTTTTTCTTTGCTTTGGCCTATTTTCGTTACGCGGGGTTGACTTTTCCAATCATGCGACGCCTGGGACCTCGCTGGTGCGTATTCTCTTCGTTGAGGTCTAACGTCTTCATGTCCCTCTGGTCATTCGTCGACCAAGTGATTCTCCTGTTCTCCTCTTCACGTGGTCGTACCATTTGAGTCTGGATTCTGCGATCTTATCAATTACAGTTGTCACCATAAAACTCCTTCTGATACCGTCGTTGCGTAATTACCCCCCCCCCCTTCTCTTCCTGACCCCATGTTCTCACAGAGAGAAATCTGTGTCGCCGCATTGACGTCTGCGATTCGCTTCTCAAACGTCACGAAAATGATCCGTTTTTGAAGCGCATCATCACTGGGGACGAAAAATGGGTTGTATACAACAACGTCAAACGCAAGAGGTCATGGAGCAAAAAAGATGAACCGGCTCAAACCATTTCCAAAGCCGATATTCACCAAAAAAAGGTGATGCTGTCTGTTTGGTGGGATTTTAAAGGAATCGTTTTTTTTGAGCTTTTACCGGATAACACAACGATTAATTCGGAAGTCTACTGTCATCAGCTGGACAAACTGAATGATGCACTTCAACAGAAAAGGTCAGAACTAATCAACAGGAAAGGTGTAGTGTTTCACCAAGACAACGCGAGACCTCACACAAGTTTGGTCACTCGCCAAAAGCTTTTACAGCTTGAATGGGATACAATGCTACACCCACCATATTCTCCAGACCTGGCACCATCGGATTATTATTTGTTCCGGTCACTCCAAAATTTTTTAGACGGTAAAACCTTCACCTCAAATGAGGAGGTCAAAAACCTCCTCGATCAGTTTTTTGCCAGCAAAGACCAAAAATTTTATGAGCGTGGAATTATGCTACTACCAGAAAGATGGCAAAAGGTGTTGGACCAGAACGGTCAATATATAATTTAATAAAGTATTTGTTTATTATACGAAAACTGTCTTTCATTTCCACAAAAAAAAACGAAATGACTTTCCGAACAACCCTATATTTGATATTGATTGAAGTACCTCTCTCCATTGTGCAGATATTGTTAGATTTCTTCTACATTTTCGTATATTAGGGCTACATCCTATATCATCTGCATGCAAAGGCGTCAGTTGTTAGATGTTCGCAGTACGGTAGTTCATAGCAACATTAAAGCACTACCTTTTCACCATATATTTAATTGGCAATCATATTCTGAAGATAAAAAGCTCGAGTGCACTTATCA